ACAAATCTTCAAAAAATGGCAACAGTACCTTCTATCTTGCTTCATGATTTATTTTCTTGCATGCACACCAGTCAGTGAACCGTTTTTCGTATTTAGTTTTTGATTTATCAGGGAACAATGAAGACACTAGGTTTGTAGCAGCTTCTTCTGTTTCGAAAGGCAAGCTTTCTGCTTCAGAATCACTCATTTCTCGATTGAACAACATTTTTTTTTCTAAAAACTGACGCGTTGTTTACAACAAATTTGAGCGGTTGTCATAACACTGCAAAAATCCTCTTGATTCTTGATTTTTAATTAATAAAAAAATTTAATCGGCTTTTTTTCTTTTTCATTTTTGGGCAGTTGTAGATAAAGTTTTGTATGTCATACGTGGGCTAGAGCATATTACAGCAACTCGTGTGATTACAGATGACTGGGTCTAACGACCTCGTCTTCTGCAATCTTCACACTCGTAGTGCTGTAATAATGGCTCTATCCCACTAATAAGATAAATAACTATTTCCTATGTTAGAATATGGTTTAGCTCACCCTTAAAATGATAATGTACATTATGGTTACCTGGATTCTTCACAAGTTTTGTACTAAACTCTTTTTAGATTTTAACTCCCTACTGGGTTAATCTTCTCTTGTGGGGACGAACCAGGTATTAAGTGTAATTTCTATGACACCGTGTTTGAGCGGCGTATAAGTACTACTTATACTCCGCCGGCGTATAAATAAAACATTTATGCTCCGCCGGAGTATAAAATGTGAAAATCATAGTGGTTGTCAACCATAGTAACCATGGTAAGTGAAATCAAGGCAATTCCTTAATTAATCAATGAATGGTGCTGAACTGCCAACCGGAGATATAGCCCATCAAACCAAAATTTTATCTTCAAACTTTGCCTTCGACTTAAATTTTATTTGTAATTTCTTCTATATTGTTTGTATAAAATCCATCGTTACCTTCCATCTCTGAATAGGCAAACGTAAAATATTTTTTTCACTAGCAGCCTGGACGCATGCAAATGTCAACTCATTTAGTGGTAGCAAATTCAACTTTTGCTACCACGGGTTCAAAAAGAAAAATTGAGGTTATGTACGCAATGTTTGATGTGATTATTTCTTAAAAAATAAACAAATGTGTGCTACAAACATTACTTGAATATACGCATGGTAGTTGGTAGACGGTAGAAGATAAAATGATTAACTCAGCGACAAGTATAAACGGTTTTCTTTGTGTTGAAGATTTAGATCAAGTTTGATTAGAAATCAAAACAAAATCATGTTGCGTCAAAAAATTGAACGTTTATTTTTCAGTTTATTGTCTTATGGTTTCTACTAGTGAAAAAAATAGTATATTAACCACGGTTGCAAAGCCACTTCTAGACCTCGCACTTAGAGCCCTCGACACTGCGCGTCTCGGGTTCTAATTTGCGCTCGGTCTAGAATGCTTGGCTCTGCAACCTTGGCTAATAATATACTATTTCATCGCCCAGCACAAGCACACGATTGTCCAAAAAATGATGAATTCTCAATAGCCGGCAACATCTGACAATTCTCTCTATCTGCAATGCTGTATGTTATGTACATTTAGCTCTTTTACTGTATTTTAAGTTGTTTTTGTCTATTTCTCTAGAAACTGTTATATGGGAACTCTAAACAATCGAGCCAATCTTCTTGTTGATGTTCCAGGCTGTTGTCTTTCTTCTTAATCTTTCTAAACTTTCTAAATTGAAAATTCGTGGCCGATCACTTTTTGGCAAATTAATACCAGGTGGTATTGCTACTTCGCAGTCTTTAATTGTTCTGTATATAGTTACGAATGTAATATATTTGGTCCAAAATATATGCACAATTTCACTTTTATATACTTGGGTAACTAACTAATATATGGCAATTCTATTTTGTATGACATTGTTTAAGCGTTAATTGACATAAATCTATGACATAAATTGTATAAAATGGGAAACAAAAAAGGTTGCTTGGTTATGCTGTTGCAAATGTAACTTGATTCGATTGCATTTTAAGTTAAAAAAAAGATATATGTAAATTTTTCTCAAATTTTTTTTACGTACTAGCTGTGAACGTGAATTGGAAAATCTTAGTAAAAGTAAAGACTACTACAGTTAATATTAATCTAGTTGAGTGCATGTATTTATGGAAATTTTAGTTGTATTGATAAATTAAATTCTTAGACGGAAATAACGATATAGATGTGAAAATTCAAGAAAAAAAAATAGAATTTGAAAATATACATGATCTTAATTTTTCCAATGGCACTACATACTTTACTTATAAAGCTGTACCAATGTACCCTTGAATACTAAAATATATACCCACCAATTTTGGAAATAAAAACTACCATTTGACTCCAGCAAAAGTATATTTAGGAGTTTTGTTTCGGTAGAAAAAATTAACAGAAAATGGGTTTCATATTGTTTGTTTTGAAAAAATATTTTGTTTTAATTCGAGGAATCTTGATGCAAAAGTTTTAGCCCATTCGGAGAAACCCTCAAAAATCACCCCCAAAACAATCTTGCAGACTGAGGGTTAAAAATGTTCCAATCAAGTCAAAACTCAATAATGTTAAATTTAGTTAATGTCACCTTTTCAGAGCACCTATCTGTGACTCGATTAATATCAATTAATATCGCAGGTCTTACACTTAGTACAAGATGATTTCAGATGTAAGTCCATAATCTTTGTTGCCGCTCTGTCAAGTTGTGAACAGATTTTAAAACCAATTAATAAAGTAGAATAGCTAAATTCCTACCTCTAATTTGGAGCTTGATTATATTATAAAATTTTGGTAACAAAAACTTGCTACTTAGGTTGTGTATTATAAATAAAAGCAAGTTGTTAGAATAAATTAATTTATAAATTACTTTTTTTAACAAGTTTATATGCAAAGTACAACTAAAAAACAAAAATAAAGATTCAACGCTTTTGTAAAATATAATTATGAATAAGTATGAGAATGATTACTAAAAATACACTGACCGGCAAAAAAACCGGCCACCCTGAAAAATTTCGCAAAACCACTTTAAAAATTATTAAATTATAACTAGTGATCGTTATTTTATTAAAGAACCATTCAGTATTGACACATGATGTACAAATTAACAAAAAAAAAAAGAAGACAAACGCAAAATTTAATTTAATTTAACAAAATAACAGAAACAGACCAAGTAGGATATTTTCTTAATTAAAACAATAAAGGAGGCTGTTGTTATAAACAGTGTTTTTCATCATTTGATTATAAGTTTGGCAGTTAGTAAACGTTTACACGCGAAAACAATGCCGTTAACTCTTACAGACGTCTCTCAAATTGTCGCTCTGTTTCTGTTATTTTGTTAAATTAAATTTAATTCTGCGTTTATTTATCTTCTTTTTTTTTGCTAATTTATACATCATGTGTCAACAGTGAATGGTTCTTTAATAAAATAACGATCACTAGTTAAATTAATAATGTTTAAAGTCGGGTTTTCGAAATTTTTCAGGGTGGCTGGTTTTTTGCCGGTCAGTGTATATGCATTAAAATAAAGTTACAAAAGGTAACAAAACAATATTTTTCATAATTAACAATGCATATTAAGATCATTAGGTGATTAGTTGTTATAGGAATTAGCTCAGTTTGCGCGAAGGTGGAGATAACACGACGACCGTAGCAACGAATCTTAACCAATTAAAAACTCAACTAAATTTGCTGCTGGTGCTTTTATATGCTTTCTTATGAAATTATTTTTGTTTTATGCCTAGTATCCCGCAAACGCTTTCGAGCACGCCACTGGAAAAACCAGTTTCTCGGAGGACCTGGAAGGACCATTTATGACCCTAGTAGAAAGCGCGGTACCAGGCATTTTTTCAAGCTATTTTCCCTCCTCTCATTCTACCTCTATGGTACTTTAAACATATGTACTGTCTCTTTATATGTGTCTGAAATTTTTCTGCTACTTGTACTTTAAATGAATGTGAACTATCAATCATTTTTATAAGTTGTTTCAAGGTGACTAAAATTTAACATGATAATTTTTTGTGTAAAGAACTCAGCAAGTGGTAACTTTCGACTCAAATGGAGTATTTTTAAGCTCCCGTATGAAAGATTGCTGGGGTACTTGTTGAGAGCAGCTTAAAAAAGGTTGTTTTTTTTGCATTATCACTTCTCGTATAGATAAAAACTAAACACCAAGTTTCGATTTGGTAATAATATTTTTAAGGCCCAGTCTACAAAGTTGTTTTGGGGGTAGTTTTTGACGGTTTCTCCGACAGGTTGAAATTTTGCATCAACAATATTCGTATTGAGAAATAAGCAAATCTCAAAATCTCGAGTTTTGACTTAATTTGAGCATTTTTAACCCCCAGTCTGCAAGGTTGTTTTGGGGGTGATTCTTGAGGGTTTTTTCTAATTGGCTGAAATTTTGTATCGATAACCGTCGTATTGTGAAACTAGCGAATATCAAATTTTGACTTGATTGGAGTATTTTTAAGCCCCAGTCTGCAAGGTTGTTATGGGGGTGGTTTTTAAGGGTTTCTCCGAACGGGTTGAAATTTTGTATCAACAATCTTCGTATTGAGAAATAAGCAAATGTCGAATCTTGACTTGATTGCAGCATTTTTAACCCCCAAGATGCAAGATAAACTGTGGTCTGCAAATTAGACAGGCCCCTTCCTCCGTCCAACGTCCACGGTACAGGTGTATGAATGTATGATCAAACAGTTTACCTGTACTGAATTTCGTTTGTTTATTCGTAATCGTTCAAAAACTAATTCAGCACCAAAATTCTATTTTGCAGAGAAATTTGTAGAATGAATTTATTAAAATTATAATTATTTTATTTTCCATTTTTGAACATCGTAAAAGTTTATTAATAATAATAATCTAGACTATCTTCATAAGATGACGTTTAATTCTTTTGGAAATTCAACAACAGTATTTAAATAAGGAATCAAATTATTACAAACGTCATATTATGAATGCAAATGGACTATAAATAACAAGCACAAAGAAATAACAATTGTTTTGATAACAAGGTGATTGATTGTTGTATGTACATTTTAAAATTATCACATGATTAATTGTTATCGTAATTACTTAATTTTTGTTTTACTTCCTTTGAAATACTCCTTGCTGTTAGACTATGCACTGGTTTATTCTTGTTCTGCTGAACAATCTGTAAAAAATAGAACTCAATTTAGTATATATGTATTTCTTATTTTTTATTAATGTAAAAAGTATATTTTAAACTATTGTTCTCTAATATTTTTGTAACATAACATGTTTGATTAGTGAGAGATGTTTATTATCTAAAGTCGCAGATAAAACTTACCAACAAAGAAACGTCATTAATTTGTGTGAACGTGTTCAGAAGATTTATATATTATAAGATAAGCTATACACAGACCTCGACTTAGCCCCAGTTCCATGTGGTAAAAATTTAGTTTAACGCTAATGTCACTCATTGTCAAGTGAACGTTCAAATTCACATCATATAGTTCATTGATTCAATGCAGACAGATAGTTCCATCCTATAGTTTCAAGCATGCAACCTGACGGCCGGGGAATAAGACATGGTGCACCAACGTTTCGCCGTCAAAGGCCAGCAAATAGCTTGGGCTGCAGTCGCACCTCTAGACTACTTGCACACAACAAAAGTGCTTTTGAATCTACCACTCAATAGAGATCGATGGAACAATTACCACCCAGTGAAGATGTCATAATAACTAGGTACTCCCTCTGTCCCAAAACAAGTGTCCAATTTGTGTACCTACTTTACTAAATATTACCTTCATTTTCAAAGATTAAGATGTTTTGTTTAAAACTTTGTTGGGTTTTAACGTCAAATACATCATTTTAATTAAAAAAACTTGGCAGGTGTTTGTTTTGGCAACAATAATTCTTTATTTCTAAATGAATTTAAAGAGATTTTGTTTATATAAAATACCGGTGTGGAGAAAATATAGCTCTGAAAATAAGCATTTGCCCCAATTCAAAGAGAAAAGCTTAACAGAAAAAACTCGTCAGGGCCTTTATCATTTCCTTCTTGAAGTAAGCGTAAATGGGAAGATTAAGCACGGTCTCGTGCAATCTACAGGATTTTAAATTTCAACAAACACTGTTGCTCGCATTTGGCATCAAGGACGGTAGTCCTTGCGACGTTTAATAAATGTAGATGTGAAGTCAACAAAAGTTGAAAAAATCCATTATGAACAGTCCTTTTCGCGATTTTTTTTTCATTGTTGTACACATGTTTCAGTAGGGTTTCTTAGTTTTACTCCAGAACCAAGTTAATGTTGCCTTACTTGCAGTTACGTAAATTAATATAAATTAATTAATCCTATAACGAAAGTTCAATATTTTATGTGAAAGCCTATAAGATTTTATACTTATGTATTATAGTAGTAATAATTATTTTTCAATAAAAAATTTGGTCGAAGGTTATTTCGACAGACATTCCCCCCCCTGAAGTACAAAAAACATATCTAGCCTTTGCGAAAAGTTATGAAATTGGTTTTGTGTATTTTATTACTTCTGAGCAAGCAAGTTTAGTAATCGAGTTCATCGGACAAATTGCCACTTTTATACATATTTTTTTGATGTTTCATGACCCCTAGACTACGAAAAAAGTGAACTCCCGTTTCGTCTATCTGTTTGTCTGGTGATTATATCCATATTTATTGGACAAGTAATCTCTAAAACTACTGGACCGACTGTAGTCAAATTTTGTTTGTATATTAGAAATATCGTGTAGAAGGTTAAATATTAACCAAAATTTTTCTAATCATCCCCACCAACAACGTGATGACGTCCCCTCAAAATTTTTCATAATAACCAGGGTTTAAATATTAAAATATAACATACTTGTGCACTTGTTCTTTATGACTTTGTCTTCAAATTTTTTCCTAGGCATTTTAATTTTCGCAAAACAAATCGAAATTGTAGATCAACCTTTTCTGCGAGTGTAAACGAACTTACAGTATTGTTATTATTTGTATTGCACTGCATATTGTAAATTAAAAACTCATTTGAAACATAGGCGTAGCACGTTCCTTTATATTTACTTTAACATTACACACAAACGTTTATTTTAAAATAAAATTCGCAAAGTCAAATTTGATAATTTTTCGAAACTGGTGGAGGTTTCATTGTACTACAGCGGCGAGGGAACTTCTGTCGAAACAACCTTCGAATAATTTTTTTAATCGTACATATGTTTTACTCTATGCGTCACTTGACACAAAAAAAAGTATCTCCAAAGTCAGTGAAAAGTAAGTAAAAAAGATCTTTATACGTATGTTGTTTGCACCAACATATTGAAATTTTCAAAATGCGAATTTTTTTCAATCTTTATGTTTGAGGAAAAAGTATTTAAACAAGAGAGAGAGATATGCCGTATTTATATACTGTTTGATCCAGAGTTTGTCGCAGATTAATTCCAAAATTCTCAGTAATAAAAAATCATTACTTAATGAAAATTTCGAAATACGTGTCATGATGGTAACAACAATATTTTTTATATAAATTTAAAGACATGGAGTACAATCATATTTGCACTGTTAGAATCAATACTATTCACGTGAACTACCGTTAAAAAACAAAATTTGAAGTAGATTTTAAAATATGTGATAAATAGCAGAAAAATGAAAATACGAAAATTTGAAAATTCATGAAAATAATTGACTGACAACACAATTTTAACAAACAAAAATCGATTTAATACAATGAAACGTTTTGACGTATTTTTGAACACACGCACTAAAATACAAAACTTATTTTATTCCTAGTATTTCAGTTATTACTAAAAAAATATAGTTTGCTGCTTAAATACGAGAAAAGAGCAAAAAATTGAGAGTAAGAATTAAAAAAATTGATCGAAAGTTAATTCAACAGAACTTCCCTCGCCCATAAAATACAATAAAACATATCCGGCTTTTTCGAAACATTATAAAATTTTATTTTATGAATTTTTAATTTTTTTAAGAGAACCCCTATAAGTTAAAATAAAACATGTAATGTTAAAGTAAATGTAGAGAACCGTGTTACGCGAATTCTTCAAATGAGTTTTTTTCTTTACAAAATTTTGTGGTGACGTGATCAATATTTTTGCAAGGATACGTATATCAATTTGGATAGATGCAATGTAATACTAATAATATTGTATTCCTAATTTTCGGGAAAATTGAGTGAACTCTTCCTTAATTCAATTAATAAAATTAATTGACTCATTCATTAATTTTTTGAGTCACCCTGTATAACCAATTCTAAAAAATATGAATTCATTGATAAATCACAAGTAAAGATTCATCACAGTTTGTGCATTTTAAATCGCATTTTTTCGTCAAAATTTTGAGATGACGTCATACATTTTTTGGGGGATCAACAGATATATTTTGATTAAAAATTTACCATGCTTATGATAACTTTGAGAACTTTGAATTTCAAACAATTTAGTTGTGCAGTTACTGATTTAATCCACAAAATTAATTGACTCTTTCATCAATTTTCTTAACGATTTACCATAGTTACGATAACCTTAAAATGTTTACAAGATTTCATAGCTTGTAAACATTTGTGTAGTTTCAAAGTTAAATTGTAAAATATTGTTATAAAATTTTGATTTTTTTTGCTAGGATGAAAATTCGACACTGATTCACACACCACAAATGCAAGTGTTTCTGATTTTATAAAATTATAAAAAAGCTATTATAAATTTTGGATATGACGTCATTCCATTGGTTGTGGGAATGATTAGTAAAATTTTAGTTAGCGTTAACATGATGTTCGGATATTCCTAATATACTTACAAAATTTGACTTACAAACAATCGGGCCGGTAGTTTCTAGATTACGCTTTTAATAAAAATGGATACAGATAGACGGAAACGGGAGACCACTGTTTTCGTACTCTAGAGGTCATGACACGTCGAGAAAATATGAAAATGGCAATTCGTCCGATGGAGTCGACTACTGTACTTAATTAGCTTAAGCTCGGGGAATAAAAATCAGAAATAAAATTACTAAAATCAATTCCCAGCTCATCATCGTCATACGCAATTTAAGGCAATCTACTTACTTCATTTTTTTCAAAAAGTTTCTTTAGGTCTTTAACAGAAATCAATCCTTCATATGACTCTGTGCTTTCCACTTGTTTTTGTTCTATATCTTCACTTAAAAGAGTTCTCACGTTTCGTTTGAGCTGATGAGTACTAACTGAACGTGTCTTCATTAAGTTTGGAAACGCTTTTGAAAATTCACCCAACCTGTTAGCAACAAGACGTCTCTCTTTTAACTCATTACAGTCATTATCGTATGTCGTCACGGATTCTTCTTTACCCCAGTCACTATCAGAAAACTCCAGGCTAAAATTATGTGTCGCCGATAATTCCTCCTTGTCATGATTATTTGTATCTTTTTCCAAGTTATTACTTTCAGAAAGATCTACAGAATTATCCGTTATAGACTCTACGATCTTTACTCCTGAACTTGATGCTACTGTGTTATTTCTTTCATCTTCTGGGGATTTATTTTTTGTTTTGCTGCCTCCTTCGTCCGTTATCCATGGAACATGGTCTCGATTTGTTAGTGCAAAATTACGAACGACTGGATTTGAGTAAATTTTCTTTATCCAAGTATTGTCCGATTTTTTAGAAGAAACAAATAAAGTTCGGTTGTCTTGATTTTCTTCATTTTTTCTTGGAGCGCTGGGTAAATTGTTGCTAATTTTTGGGGAAGAAATAACTTTAGCTTCATATTCTTTTTCACTTTCTTTGTCCATGTTACCATTAAATGCGGCAATTGGTTCTTTTACTAAATTCTTCCCAAAATCTACGTTAGAATTTGTATTACTATAAGTAATAAAGTCTAACTCAGCAGCAACAATTTCTTTTTTATTAACCTGAATTTCTAAAGTACGTTCATTATCTTGAAAATTATCTAATTCAGGAGACACAATTTCCTTTTTATTAACCTGAACTTCATATTTTGTTTTATTATCATGAGAGGGTTCATAATATATTTTAGAATTTTGGACATTATAACATTGAACAATGCTTAAATCGGAGCTATCTTCAGGTTGTTGATCATTTACGTTCCAGTCGAGATTGTTTTTCATGGTTTCTTCTTCATCGTCTGTTATTGCTACTGGATCAGCACGGTGTAATGAGCCTTCATAAGGTGTCCAAGAAAAGTTGTCATTCTGTGAATAAAGAATGAGAAACAATAATTAAGTTTCTGATATTTTTGGGCGAAGGAATTTGAGACAAAATGAAGTTGTTACAAGTCAAATATTGTGACAGACAATAACATTAATAATTAAATTATTTACAAAAAGTACGGTATAAATTACATATTCACCTCCAGTCATATATTGTTGTTTCAGTGCTATGTTTACAGTAATGTGAACGTCCGGTAAGTGTAACTAATTTTTAATGTAACAAATATAAAAATTGGGTGATTTTATTAGTATAGAAGTCCACCAAAAACGTAACGTCCAGGTATGATTGCACGAATTGTATCATGATAAATGTTACACGAATTCCACATATTTGTTTTTATACTAATTTAATTTTTATTACTTTCCAAATGTTGTATTTAGCATGCGGTTGATATAAAAGTAATCAAATTGTGACATTCTGAACATTAGTGGTCATTTTGTCTCACCTTCCTTGTGTTTGTGAGAAACTGAATCATATAAAGACAACAACAGTAAGTTGTTTTAAAAGCTGGGAAGTATTGTTAGTAGGTATGTAGTACATAGAAATTTGTTTTTAAGAAGAAGAGTGTATATGTATTAGTAAACTCATTTTAACTAATTCCACACCAGAACTATTTGTTAATAAAAATAAATGAGTTTGTTCTAATTTTTAATGTGTATCCTTAATTTACAAAATAAATAAATCCACATATGCTCCGAAAGTAGTCACCCTAATTTCCAAAACGATATAGTCCCGAAAGTTTAGTAAATTAGAATATCAGTGTAATTAAAAATGATTTATGATTTGTGTTTTCACGATGATATAACAAAGTTAATATTCAACTGCGTAAAATGATGAAAAAGTACCTGTAATCGACAAAAATATGCATATGAATCTTAACGAGAATCACATTTGTTAGATAAAATTAAACTACAGCATTATTATAGAAGAAAAAATTTGTAGGTAGGTAACTAAACAACTTTTATAAAAATTTACGAATGACAAAAATGTAACGTATCCTAGCGCTAACGTTGCTTTTACCTCTTTCGTGTGAACAACCGTTCAAATTTCCATAGGTTTTTGTTTCTTGCATGTTCGTGGAGCAAAGTTGATTTAAACAAAACTTTTCATGTCGTACCTGTGTTTGATATATTTAGTTATAAAGTTTTCAAAACTGGTACAAATTGCGGTACCAATAATTTTATGTTATGTAATGTTAATATTGTATGGAGTATTGAACGTGTTCAGTAATACCAATTTAAACTGTTTTGCAACAAAGAAAAACAGAGAGGACAGTTCATGTGCAAAACTATTTTCCCACAGAATTTACCTCGCTCCTGAAGTATACCTAAAACATACCCAGATTTCTCGAAAAATTATAAAATTTGATCTGAATGCACTGATAAATTACAAGTATAGACTGATCATATTTTGCACATTTTAGCTATGGTTTATTCGGCAAAATTTTCAGATGACGTCATCAATTTTTTGGGGTTGATAAACAGATATATTTTACTTAAAAAGTTACCATACTTAAGATAAGTTCAAAACGTCAGCAAGATTTCAAAGTTTTCAGTTTTGCAGTTCTTGATTTAATCAATAAAATCAATTGACTGATTAATTAATTTTTTTGCACCCTGTATAAACAAATCTAAAAAATTTTAATGTAGTGATAAATCGCACGAATATTTTGAGGTGTCGTGTTCAATTTGTTAGGGAGGAGGAGCAAATACATTTTGATCAAAAATGTATCCTGCTTATGATAACTTTAAGACATCTCTAAGATTTCAAAGTATTCGGTTTTGCCCGTATAAGCAAATCCAAAAAAATATCAATAGAATGATAAATCACAAATTACAATTATAGACTGATCATATTTTATACATTTTAGATAGGATTTATTCGGTAAAATTTTGAGCTGACCTGATCAATTTTGTGGAGGGGATAAGTGAATATATTATTAAAAATTTGCCATGCTTATCATAATTTTGCAAGATTTCAAAGCGTTCGGTTTTGTAGATTCAAAATTAAATTGCAACTGTTGTTTTATAATTTTAATTTTTTTTCCAAAAATTTTGACGTTTCGGGTAAAAACTCAACATGTATTTTACATACATATCTTTATTTTAGCGTACTTATAGGGGTTCTCTTAAAAAAAATAAAATTGGCAAAATCAGATTTGATCATTTCTGCTGGATATGTTTTATTGTATTTCAGGGACGAAGGAAGTTCTGTCGAAATAACTTTCCACTAATTTTTCTACTTAAGTCTTTCGTAACACGTCCCTTCTTCAATGTTGATAAAATATTATTGTTTTACTCCCTAGCCTTTTTGTATATAACATGTCTTCTTTTCTCATACCCTCTTCCTCCTGCCCCTACCACTTCTAGTCATTGGTGACACCTTGAAGGAAATATTTCCTCTAAATTTGTCAAACAGAAAAAAGAACAAAATATAATGTAGTGTTACATTATATTCATAAAACGAGCAAGAATCGAGAAACTTTAATAAAGAGGTTGTCTTAAAAAATGCAAAGGAGATATAAATACTTAGATGTTAACACAAATATAATTTATTCTATTTTAGAACCATAATCTTATTTGTAGGCACCCAAATGCGGGCTTAAATTGGCCTTTTTAGCACTAATCAATTAATTATTCAAACATGCTTCAAAATTCAACGTTTTTCTTAAGTTGGAAAAATAATATTTTATCAAATCATTACCTGACCGACTTCGAATTCTTCTAAACTTTCGTTTGAATAAAGGTTTTCCGCTTCTTTAATTTACATTTTGAAAAACGAATTATCAAATAATCAACGTGGTATCCATAACAACACCAAAATAATAGCCAGCTATGTATTAAAATTCGCATCGGCACAATTCACACAGTCTTGCCGAAAATACTCAATATTCCGTTAAAAATAGTTTAGAAACTAAAATAGAATAAAACGTTGTATGTACCACGTGCCACAATCTCCCTAATTATGCTCTTAATACATAAATAACTATTACTTCACGTTTCAAAGCTGTTGTTTAATTTTTTTAGGTACTGCAGATTACAGTGCTACACTTACCATCGCAATATGATAATAAAATAAAAATAAAAATAAAAATAGAACACGATCATAAATCAGTTGGAAATATAAAATATGTTTTATTTCGAATTACCAAGCTATCACAAGAACAATAACAACAGCAACAAAACTAACTAATCGATAACTAGAAAACAAAACAAATATAACTTATAAATCAAAAATTTAAATTGACATTGTCGTTAAAATTAAGTAACGGATTTTTTACAAAATTTTTTGTAGAATTTCTTGGTGTGTACAAACTTCTCGGTAGGCTGAAATATGTGTATCTTGCTTCCAACTGATCAATGCGGTTCGATAAACTTACCTCATCAGGTTTTGTTCTTCCTGACGGTAAACCAGCTTGCTTGGTATAATAGTCTCTTCCATATCTGCAATTGTTAAAGAAATTTAAATAATTGGGATTTTAACTAAAGTTTCTAGTGTGCTTTATGGTTATGATAATAATTGATAGTATGGTCGAACTAATCGAATTTGATGGCGTAATGATCCAGACAATGAGCATATACTTTTTAAACAGGTTGCTATCAATATGTGTGGGTAGATAATTGTGCCAAAAGTAACTAACCAAAAAAAAAAACATAATTATCATTATTGTAAAATATTTTTGCATTACCGTTATCACATTTTTATCAAATTATGCATGCAGTTGTTAAAATTTTTGTTTTTTTTTCCATAATGAATTTTTCTAAACGAATTAATAATTTTAAATCCATTTGCTCATAAAGCTTTATACTATTGACCGGAATGTTAATTATATTTCTCGTCAATCGGTGAAAAAGCACCACCTCTTTGCACCCCCGTTTCTGACTATCTGTCTGCCGTCTATCCGAATTTTTATTCTTGACCCATAGAATATGAAAAATTAGATCTCCCGTTTCAGTCTGTCTGCGCCTGTCCAGGTTTTTGTTAGACAGATAATCTCCAAAACAACTTATGACCTATCGTTGTCAAATTTTGTATGTATGTTATGAATGTCTTGTAGATGGTAAAACGCTAACCAAAATTTGCCCAATCTCCCTATCAATATGATGACACCTTCTCAAAATTTTTCATTGTAAGCAAGATTTAAATTTTACAAAATAACATACCCCTATACTTGTTTTATTGATCAAATCTCTAGAACGGTACACCTCAGTGTTTTATTCTTAGTATTACACTGCATGTGTCGGAATTGATATTATACATGCCTTTGGTGAAATAATCTTGACCCAAACATTTTCAAATGGGAAACCTCACCAATACATTAAAAATATAGTTTTGCCAATTTTTTTTTATGAGGACTCCTCTAAGTTAAAATAAAGATATGCATGTAATGTTAAAGTAGATGTAAAGAAGTGTGTTATGCGTATGTTTTAAATGAGTTTTACCGTTAAAAAATTTTGGATGACGTCATCATCATTTTTGCCAGGAGACGTGTATCAGTTTAGATAGTTGCAGTGTAATAGTAACAATAACAATATATAGTTTGCAAATTTTCGGGAATATGGAGTAAGCCGTTCTAATACATAAAAATAAATTGACTCACTATTTTTTTTGAGTCACCCTGTATAAGAAATCCGAAAAAAATATGAATGCAATGATAAATCACAAGTATAGACTTGTACATTTTTGAAAGAAGGATCGACGGACTCAATTACAATACTTCCTTCGCTAGAACAAGAATATTTCCTGCAACGATGAACGAATTTAGTTTCGTTATGAATACATATACAATTTTATCTTCAGTTATCTAAAATCTAAGAGATCCCCTTTGATTGATTGTTTTCGAAGTAACCTATTTGTTGATGAGATAATTTTCACTGACGTTATTTCAATAGCGAATGAAAATATTTAATGGTTATATTGACCAATGTATTGGGTTTAAAAGTACCTCAGTATTTTTGTTTTCAATCTGATGTTGTTAATCCATCCTATAAATAAGTTTTACACCGTTAAGTACGCAAGTGTAGTCGGTTATATAAGTAACATGTAATTACAATATTAAAATATAGTACTGATGTCTATATCTCCACAACTCACCTGTGATTGCGATATCTTTGTCTGTCTGCGTCTAAAATATCCACAATTCTGCTCATGTTCTTAGATGTAAATATATATTTTGCACGAACTGTAACGACACAATCTAATGTACTCAATTTATTGTTTTGTGAACATTCAGTTGTTATCAACTTAAAATTATTATTTTTGATAACTGTGTGATAAAATAGTTAATTTCAAAATATTTCACAAGTATCTCTTTATCAATATAAAATGTTATGAAATTTAATTTACAGGGATAGGTATAGAGTGTGTATCTTATCTTTTGGTTCATCGATTAAGAAAAAAAAACGTATTATTTGTTGTACATCATTTGTATTAGTATATTAAGTATTAAGAACGGTAAGGGGTGTAGTAAACCCCCTTAACGTTCGTGATGCTTATACTATTTTTTGTACGACCATCAAAAGATTTGCGTCTTTTTATCAAATTCATAAATTGAAAGAATTTATATCAAACATCAACAATGTCGTTTTTTAATTTAAAATTTGTTACTATGGTTTCGATTAACATAAACAACAATTTTAAAAATCAGTTTCCATTTTGACCGCTGTCGATTTAGATTTGATCTGGCTTGATTTCGAGTTAATTTTCTTTCCGCGACTATTAGTGAGTGCTTTATTTGCTTAAAATATCAATCATGAGTGATTCTGAAAGCGAAAATGTCGAAGTCGAACACGCATGGAATTTAAAATAAAAAAAATCTTGAATGCATGATTACTTACCGTTCAGCTGAACAGTAAGTAATTTACTTACCGTTCGCCTCTTATAGTTGTTAGTCGTAGCAACCCGTAAACTGAACTTACTGCTATGGAAACCTATACGGTAAACGATCGAAAAAGCAATGGTCGTACAAAAACTTATATTACCTTCCTGTGTTTGTGGAGTGAGATTTTATTACTCTAAATTGTGGGGAATAATGAAGACAATACAGTTTTGTAGTATGTTTTCAAAAGTTTTAGATCTGATATCAGTTTTTGCTTCCCGAGTGTAAACTAAGGAGGTAAGTATTGTAGTCGAGTCCATCAAACGACTGTCTGTCTGTTTGTCTGTCTCTCTTTCTGTCGGTCTGTCTGTCTTTCTGTCTATCTGTCTGTATGTCTCTCCGGCTAGCTGTCCTCCCAACAATATGATGATCTCAGGTGAAAATTGTACGTAGTAAATGAGTTTTAAATAGTATAAAATAATTTAGTTCTACAAGTATAGTCTATGAATAAGTGTTGTTTTACCCGAGACATCCAGATTTTTGAAAAAAATATAATTAATTCGTATAAATGACTTATTTTTAATGATTTTCTGGTTATATCATGGAGGTAGAGTAAGAGGAGGGAAGATAGTTTGAAAAAGGGCCTGACACTGGGCTTTCGACTGGGATCATAAATGGCCCTTCCAGCTCCTCCGAGAAACTGGTTGTTCCAATGGCGTACTCGAACACGCTTGTTGAGAGCCTGGACATACGATACAAAAATTAACATGTAGCAAGTTAATGGTATCGATTAAGTATATATATGTAGGGTCGCTGGAATGTATGGAAACGATCAAATATTTTGATAACCAATTGTACAAATCAACTGAAATTAGGTACAGGGGTACAAGAAGTAGTAGGGGCAAGTGGTACATAGTGGGACGCGGTACATAGTGAGATTTCTTGTATAACACAAAATTTAATCGAAGCAGTGCAACTAGAATTTTAAGATTCAGTTCTACAACATCCTAGTAAACGTGGGTGATAACGCAGTGGTTGCCATTTAAAAGTATTTTTGTGATACACCAACTGATTTCGGTAAGAACTGTTCTGTGTGTGGTTACGAGAAACATGTTGATGGGCGTATTTTTGTTCAATATACATGAAATTCTTGCAATTTTTCGCCATAGCTTCAAAAACATGAATCTAAGCTAGTGCATGTGTTGCAATTCATAAGAGCCCTATCACTTTAATAAAATCGTACCTGATTTACATTTATGCATGACAGTATTTACTGGGACAGTCTGGTATATAGTGGGACAATTATACTTAACTTAAGCGTTGTATCATATATAACTCTGAAAAAAAAAATGTTGGTAGGAGTCCAATATGCCCAAATATCCAAGGAGAAGTATGGCAAAAAGGTTTCTCGAAAGTCAATTGAGAAAATACGTAATGCCGTCCATGAGGTATTTCAAGAAATATGACTATACGACAAGCAGCAAACCAGTATGAAGTTAGTAAATCTGCTCTTCATAGGAAAATTACGAAATATAAAAGTTTGGAAGATGAAGACAAGGAGAGATTTAATTTTTCCCGAGAACATGGTTTGAAATGCGTTTTTACTACGGAGGAAGAAACTCTTCTAAGACAATATTTGATTGAAGGTGCGCAAATGTGCTATGGTTTGACACTCAAATCAACTCGGGAATTGGCCTATAGATTTGCCATAGCAAATGGAAAAAATGTGCCACAATCATGGGAAAAAAATAAAATGGCTGGAGTGGAATGGGCTCACTGTTTTCGAAAACGAAATCCCGATCTTGCACTTCGTACTCCAGAGGCGACTAGTTTGAGTAGAGCGACTAGTTTCAATAAACATAATATTGGGCAATTTTTTACCAATTTACGGGAAGTGTTGGGCAAATTTAATTTTCAACCAACACAAATCTTCAATTGTGATGAAACAGGTATTACAACTGTACACAGACCCCCTAAAATACTAGCATCATCTGCCCAACGACAAGTTGGGAAAGTTACTAGAAAGAATACAAGAAAAGGGCAGAAAGAAAGCGCAGTCAACAATTATTTTAACTGATACACCAGTTAAAAAGAAAATTGAAGAGGAACATCGAATAAGATTATTAAAACAAACGAAGAAGTTGCAACCTAATAAGGTAAAGAAGAAGGTATTTGAGGAAAGTTCAGATTCTGAAGACGTGAATGAATAGGAGTTTGCGAATGATTCTACAGACATGGAGAGTTTTACAGAAGAAGAAGATTTCAATAACAATTTAGATGAAGTTTTGGTAGAAGATTACATTTTGGTTAAATATGCTACAAAAAAGACTGTTCGGCACTACGTTGGACAAGTAAAGGCAATACGAAATGAGGAGTTTGAAGTAAGATTTAAAAAAAAATTACTTGGTTCTAAATTTGTTTTTCCTGACAAAGATGACGAAGACTTCGTTGACAAGGAAAACATAATTCTAAAATTGCCCAAACCATTTGTGTCCGGTGCGACGCAGAGTTCGATCCGACAACTTTCGTTCAATTTAGATCTTAGTCAATACAACCTTTTGTAACTTATATGTTCCTTGTACATTACTAAAAATATATATTATTCTTATAAACTTTTTGTGTGAGTAGATTTGTTCATAATGAGTTGCGTTTGAATAGTCCCAGTATATACACTGTCGTTTCCCACTGTATACCACCCGGTGGTTTATTATGGGACAAATGGTACATAGTGGTATAACTTTTTTTTTACGTTAAAAAATTTGTTTTTTAAATTTTGGGGGTTGATTACATTACCCGACACCGTTTACCTAACAGTAAAACAATATATGATTTGAAAAAATCTAAATTTGCCAAAATTATGAAGAAAAGTTTTTTTACGTCCCATCTCGTACCACTTGCCCCTACTCTAATTACTTGTTAAAAAAAATTTTTTTTGTTTCACTTATTTTCGAGATTCAAGGCCAACTTGATTTTTTTTTAACGGTGCTATCGTATAATTAATGCATTTCTGAATACAGCTTTATTTTCTGAATTCATTGATATAGCACAATCATACTTTTAATTGAAATGGCTAAATCAATTAGGCTGCCGAAGAACCGACGTTCTACAACCGAGCCCGACCAGATGCACTAGGTGATGTCCTGGACGTTGCTCTTGTCAAGAATCTCCGACACGAAGTGGACGTCACCGTCGTCACCGAGCTCCACTCTGACCACCTCCCGGTGATTATGCGCATCGGGAACGAACCCAGCGATCCCGCGGCCAACATAATCACGACCACGGACTGGACGAAATTCGCCGAACACATCAAGGACAACTTTGGTGAATTCGTAACGAATTTCCAAGACAGCGAGCAAGTCAAAAGAGCAACTCTGGAACACGAGAATCGTATCCGGGCCTCCATCGACGCCCTGTGCGAACATTCACACGGCCCGCGATACACAGCGTATCGCGAACCTCATCAGGGAAAAAAACAGAGCCAGACGAACTGCAGGACGAACCGGAGAACAAGCCGACCGAACTGCAGCGAACCACCTCCAATGGGAAGTCCGGCAAGCACTGCTCAATCTTAGGAACGAGCAGTGGGAACAAAGACTAGAATCCCTCAACACCGTGACCAGAGACCACTTCCACCGATTCACAGCGCCAACAACGGCATCGTCTTCACAGATGAGGACAAAGCCGCCGCCTTCGCTCACAGTCTGGAAAACCAATGCCTGACGAACATCGACCCTGCCAGGCCAGATGGCATCCCGAACAAAGCATTGAAGAACCTCTCCGACGAAGCCATCGTCGCACTACCAGGTATCATTAGTGCAATGTTCAAATTTCGATTCTTTCCAGTTAGGTGGAAAGAAGCCCACGTCATCTTCATCCCGAAACCCGGTAAAAACCACATTTTTCCGGAAAACCACCGCCCCATCAGCCTCCTCTCGTCCGTGGGGAAAATCGCTGAGCGAGTGATTCGGAAACGACTAGCCGAGATCGTCAACGATCTCATCATCCCCATCATCCCCAATGAACAGTTCGGCTTTCGCCCCCAACACTCCACCTCCGATCAACTCCTCCGAGTAGTAGAATTCGCCGCAAAATCAACTGAATGGAAACAATTGACTGGCGCGGTCTTTCTCGACGTTGCCAAAGCCTTCGATATCGTTTGGCATGATGTATTTGTTTACAAGCTTCATCTGGCAGGCGTGCCGCTGGCGATGGTGCAGCTCATTCAATCCTTTTTGGATGACCGCACGTTTAAAGCACGCATTGGTCACGCTTTATCTGCGGAACATCCAATTAGCGCCGGAGTCCCCCAGGGCTCGGCGCTTTCCCCGCTCCTGTATGCGGTTTTTACCGCGGACATACCCAAACCCCCTCGAACTAGCCTTGCCATCTACGCAGACGACACGGTTATCCTTGCACGCTCCAAATCGCCGCATCTCGTAACCTCCTACTTACAGGGAGCCGTCGAAGTGCTGGAGGAGTGGTGCAAATGTTGGCTCAATACAGTCAATCCAGAAAAGAGCACAGCGCTTCTTATCTCGAAAAGACGTATTGGGCCAGCAGGAAATGTCACGATGTTTAAACGGGTTATTCCTTGGCGGGGCCAAGCAAAATACCTAGGTGTCATCATTGACAAAAGCCTGACTTTTATCCCTCATATTGACTACATCGTAGCCAATACGAACAAGATAAAGGGTTCGTTGTCTGCGCTAATCGGCAGGCGCAGTAAATTGTCGATCAGGAACAAGTTGTTGCTGTATCGCAAAATCATTCGCCCCACCATGTCCTATGCTTCAGTGGCCTGGAGCTACCAACCGTCCAAATCACAGTTCCACCGTCTGGAAGTCGTCCAGACAAAAACCTTCCGACAGGTTTTCAAAGCCCTGGTTCGTCAGAAACGCCCAACTGCTCCGAGAGGACAGCCTCCCGCCGCTGAAGGAGTTCCTGCACGAAATCGCCCTGCGATCCTTCAGAAAAGCTGAAAAACACCCCAACTCCCTGGTGCGAGAAGCCGTCGACTACGAGATTCTGTTGACAGAGGCTACATTAACACCTACTAGGGCGGCCACTGTTTTTCGACTCATGTGAGGGTCCTTTTCCACCATTCCTAAGACTTGGTTTTTTAATTGGTGTCCAACTCTCTCGTAACGACATTTACAGCTTTTTTAAAGATTTTCTTGGTAGGTGCTCTTTTCTGCGGATAATGTTCCGCATACATTCTAGCTGCCAAAGAAGCGTTCTTCCTACATTCCCCATAAATGAGAATCAGATCCGTTTTATCGTTATTTGAATACATTTCAAATGCTGACAAACAGTGACAAATTTCTAACGCACGGATAACTATGTTTAGCGCTATTTGAAATTTAAAAGAGGCATCCAAGTAAATTTTGATACACAGAAAAGATATGAAAGAAGCTATTCACGTGTTTATTTTCTACATAAATACCCACACTTTTAAATAAAATGCAAAAATGTTAACATTGTCCTAATGGAGTTTCACGGCGCTTGTCAAACGCTGGGTTCCCGCCACAGCGTGACGTCACGTGTTAGTGGCTAATTACAGATCAAGCAAGTACGAGTGTATACGCAATATAATTTGGTTCCACAGAGAGACAGAGAGGTCCGATATATTGCTCTGCCGTAGTGTTTTCGAACTCTTTTGAGGTCAGTTAGTAATATAGTATTATTAGATATATGGACAAATTGCTAATTTTTGCACTTCGTACTAATTTTTAAGGTTTGACCATTTTAACTATTTTTTTTTATGCGTAAAAAATATACGCATATCATATCATAAGCTACACTGGTAAAAATTTCGTTTGAGAAAACATGTAAAGTTTAGTGAAGTAAAAAGTTATTGGTTAACATTTGTTCATCTAGATCTGAGCTTAAGAAAAACTACTTACAAAATTTTAGTGTATAATATGAATAATCGAAAAATACGTAAAACTCAAATAACTCTACTTTTATGAATTTCGTAAAAAATAGTACTAATCCCTTCTGAGTCGAAGTCTAAGTTAAATTTGCTTAACAAAAATGGTTTAGTATTCAGTAGATATGCACTTATTTATTCAAATTCATTATTAGCAAATACTTACCTCTGATTTGTTTCAATCCTTTTTTGAATATTCTCTGATGAATATGGATTGTTTGGAATGGTAACAGGATGATTCCATTTTTCTTTGTCTTTTTGGCTGTAACTTCCTTGAAAAACTGACAAATCAGTTTTATTCCTGCTTGGATCTTTCAGCGGTTCTTGTGCAATTTGATTATCGATATGAGAGTGTTCCAGCCCCAGTGACGATGGTACCTGCCTGAAAAAACAAGTTCTTACATTATGAAAAATGGTATAAGTATCTCTTTTCACCAATACATACATACACATCAGTTACATTTTTTTCTATCAGTGTTAAGACAAATATCATACATACTGTAATATCCCGATTCGAATTTAAATTGCGCGCAAAAAAATTGACAACGTCGCGAAATCACCTCACCAAAAACGCCAAACTTGGACATTCCGACCGCATTTTCTGTTTATTTCTCATGTGTTTGTTTTTGTTGTGTAAGGGAAATCGATTCACGATATAAGTTCCTGAATTAGATTTGGAATGTCCAGCAATTTGAATTACTGCATAATTTAATCTAATCTAAATTCTTTGTTGATTGAATTGTTGATAAAGTGTGGCATAATTTAATCTCACGTAAATTCTTTGTTTGAATTGTTGATAAAGTGTGGCATAATTTAATATCACCTAAATTCTTTGTTTGAATCGTTAATAAAGTGTGGCATAATTTAATCTAACGTACATTCTTTGTTTGAATTTATTGATAGTGTGACATATGTAAATTCTTTGTTTGAATTACTGTTAAAGTGTCGCATAATTTAATCTCATGTAAATTCTCTGTTTAAACTGTTAATAAAGTGTCGCATAATTTAACCTCCTGTAAATTCTTTGTTGATTGAAATTCCTGACTATGACGTAATTAGTCCGCATGGCGAGAGCGAAATACGTTTCTGCGATTTTAGCATTATCCAAAAATGTTGGAAGTAAATGTCAGGGAAGACTCAGGTCCGCGTGAATCGCGTAGCTTGTTAATAGCTTTTTGCGAAGAATGAGTAGAGAGTATCGTCATGCTCATGCTCAAAAAAAATTGATGAAAACGCGGAGTATGCTTTGTCTGTGTTTCAGAGTAGAATCACCGTGGGGGGGGTGAGAAAACGAAGGGTTTAAATTCCGCTCTCGTTACGGCCTCCTTACAGCACGCCCGTCGTTCCACGACTACTCATTTTGTTTAATTTGTTTTCTGCGTCTTTTAATTTGTTATTTCATCATTTTAATTTGTTGTTGCGTCATTTTTAATTCAATTTATCTGTCCGTCTGTCTGTAAGTATTGTAATCGAGTTCGTCAACCGACTCTCTATTTTTACGTTTTCTCGACCTGTCATAACCTCTACAGAACGAAGAAATAGGTCTCCCGTTCCAGTCTATCTGAACGTCTGTCTGCCGTCTTGGATTTTTATTAGACAGATCATGTCCGAAAGTACTGGGCCAATTGTTGTCAAATTTTGTATTTATATCAGAGATGTCATGTAGATGGTAAAACGCTAACCAAAATTGATCTAATCATCCCCACGAATATTGTGATAACGTCACTTCAAAATTCTACATAGTAAATGGGTATAAAATAACATAGACCTACACATCTAGTTTATCACGCCGTGTTGAGTTTTTATTCGAAACGTCCATATTTTTGGAAAAAAAATCATAATTATAAAACATTTTGCAATTTAATTTTGAATTTGTAAAACCTAATTCTTTGAAATCTTCCAGAAGTTTTAAAGTTATGATAACCATGATAATTTTTTAATCAAAATATATTTACTTATCCCCTCCAAAAAAATTGATGACGTCAGCTCAATCATCTAAAATGTACAAAATATGATGAGTCTGTACTTGTGATTTATCATTCCATTCAGATTTTTTGGATTTGCTTATACAAGGTGACTCAAAAAAAATTAATGAATGTTTGAATTTAGTTTATTGATTTAATAAAGAACTACAACACCGAATCCTTTGAAACCTTGGAGATGGGTTAAGGTTATCATAAGCATGGTAAATTTTTTATCACAATGTATTTGCTCATTAATTAAAAAAATTGATTACGGCATTTCAAAATTTTGCCTAATAAATCCTATCTAAAATGTGCAAACTATGATCAATCTATATTTAGAATTTATCACTGCATTCATATTTTTTAGATTTGCTTATACAGGGTTGATTTTATTTATTTTATTGTAAACATGGTAAATTGTTGTTGTTTATTCCCTTTAAAAAATTGATGACGTTATCTCAAAATTTTGCTGAATAAATTCTACCCAAAATGTGCAAAATATATATGATGAATTTTTACTTGTGGTTCATCATTGCATTGATATTTTTTCTTAATCAAATTAAAAACGAGTCACCCGATTTTCCCGAAAATGTGAAAATACAAATGTCTTTAAAAAATTATAGTAATGATATTCAGAACATTTTGTCGATTGTAGCTCACTACTTAATAGTTTTGATCCTCTATTTTGAGGGGACGAACTCATTCAAATCAAACTAATTTCTACGTGACATTCTTCCGATGTATAAACATAAACACTTTCAATTTTTTTTTATCGAGGATAACCTAAGGACGTACAGTAAGGGAGTCCGTCGGGCAATTTAGTACTTTCATATTTTCTCGATATTTCATAACCCCTAGACAAGGCTGTAGTTAGGAGGAGGCTAAGGGATGCTGAGCCTCCCCTAGATCTAGACAAGTTATAATTAACCAGATGTAAAATACTACTTCGAAAATCAAAATAAAATGTAATAAGCGGAAGTCAGAGCAATAAAATAGTCTGGACCGTCGGCATTGTGAACCGGTTATTGCAATTTGTAGAAAATATGTTTTAGTTTAGTTTAATGTGGATGACATTAACACAACACAACAAAACTCAAATTTTGTAATAGAAAAACTCACTTGTAACACACGGTTAGCACGTTTCTTTACCTTTACTCAAACATTGGATACATATTTTTATTTTAGCCATAAAATGGTTGCCATAAAAAACAAAATTCTCAAAATCAAATCTTTTAATTTTTCGAAAGAGTTGGATTTGACAGTTGTACTTTATGGGCGAGGGAAATTCTGTCGAAGTAATCTTCGACCAATTTTTTAAAATCATGTTTGTAGTTTTATCTTTTTTTATATAAGTATCAAACTGTTAGGAGCGTTTAATTATCACCTCTTCCCCCACATGCAGTTTAGTTCTTCCATTTCCAAGAGAATAAACAAACTGGGCAAGACAATATTCGCAAAAACCTAGTTTCTGGCACTATGATATATATAACTAATTTTGAAGAAGTTTAAAGATATTAATACAAAAAAAATGAGAATATTAGATTTTTTTTATATTTTGTTTTTAAACAATAAAGACAACATTTCAAATAAATGGATAAGGGAGCGTTCTTCCTAAATTTAGGTTTAATTTTGTGTTTTGTGAAATAAAACTTATTTTATATGAATTGAAATACTTACTGTGAGTTTGTTACTGATCTTCTGTACAGTGTGGTTGGGAGAGACGAAAATTTTTCTAAATATTCTGCATCTTTTTCGGCACTGAATGCAGAAATTAACGAAACGTCCTCTAAATCTATAAGATAATCATTTACAACATTTATAAAACAATATTAAACATTTCATACTTTCACTGATATCATCCCAATTAATGGTAATGATTTCATTATAGTCGTCTCTATCTTCTCGAACACCTGAATCAAAGGATGTTTCTTCTTCTGAGAGGATTTTTTTTACTGCTGAATCAACTATCAATTCTTGAATTTGAGAATTTACATTGACGTCATCAGAGTTTGCATCAGATAAATCTGAGGTATCATCGACTTCTTTATCACCTATCAAAACTTTAGCAGACGTTAATGAGTTCGGTACCAACATAGGTACAGGCACGGGTGAATTTGTCTCATAAATTTGAGGTTTCTGTAAATACCAGTTATGTTGATCGTTATTTAATCCAGAAGAGTAATTTTCATAGGAATAATCCACCTCATCATCCTCAACCTCACGTTCCACTTTAGACGGAATTTCTTCAATTCGTTGTTTAATCTAGAAAATTAACAAAAAACTAAATAAATATAAAGCAGCTGTCACTGGAAGTCTAAAATCATATTAATACGTTACTAAAAGTATATTGCGTCGGGATACAGAGATTGATAATAATAGTATATTAGGTATACGCCAAGGTAGTGAAGACAATCATTACATACCGAACGCAGATTAGAGCCCGAGACGCGAAGCGTGAGGTCTATAACGGTCTTCACTACCGTGGTGCATATAGTTTTTTTTTTCACTAGTAGCGCACTATAAAACACTGATTTGAAAAATTTTCAATTTATTAAAAGTATCATCAATCCAAACTGAAATACGTGTCCTTGACTATTTGTAAAAATGTTGATGGCGTCATCACAAAATTTTGAAATTGAAAAACTGAAAAAATTAACATTGAAAGCTAGAAAAGTTACATCTTGACAATTCGAATAAACGAAAAATCGAAAAAAATTTAATTGAAAAAACAAAAAATTATAAAATCGGAACATTGAAAAATTGAAAGATTGTAAAAATAAAGAAAATTAATGAAAACTCAAAACGAAAAATGGCAAATCGAAAATTTGAAGAAATAAAAAATTAAAGAATCGAAAAATTAAAAATGAAAACTCTAGAAATTTTAAATCGAAAAATTGCACAACTAAAATCAAAAGTTGGAAAGTTGAAAAACTGAAAAATTTACACTTGAAAACACCAAAATTTGCAAATCAAAAAACTGAAAGAACAAAAAATATCAAACATGAAGAATTGAAAAATTCAAGTCAAAAAACTGCGGAAGTGTTATTTACGCCATTATAGAGGTGATCAGAAAACAATAATCTCATTTTATTTTTATAATTTTTCAAAGAAGCGGGCTGTACTTCAGAGGCGAGGGAAGTTCTATCGAGATAACCTTCGACTAATTTTTACTTCCCCAGGGTAAGCAAAGCAAGTATTGTAATCAAGTCCGTCGGCCGACTCTCTACTTTTGCATTTTCTCGACCTATCATGACCCCTAGAGAGCGAAAAAATAGGTCTCTCGTTTCCGTCTGTTTGTCCGTCTGTCTGTCCATCTGTCCGTCTGTCTGCCGTCCCGGAATTTTATTAGACAGATAATCTCCGAAAGTACTGGACCGATTGTTGTGAAATTTTGTATTTATATTAGGAATATCATGTAGATGGTCAAACGCTAACCAAAATTTGTCTAATCATCCGCGCCACTAATGTGATGACGTCATTTCAAAATTGTACATAGTATATGGGTTTTAAATTGTATCAAATAACATAGTCTTACACATGTAGATTATGACTCCGAATTGAGATTTTACCCGAAACGTCCAGATTTTTGGAAAAAAAATCAAAATTAGGAAACAACATTTTGACATTTAATTTGGAATCTACAAAACCGAATGCTTTGAAATCTTGCAGATGGTTTACAGTTATGATAAGCATGATAAGTTTTTATTCAAAATATATTTACTTGTCCCCTCCAAAAAATTTATTACGTCACCGCAAATGTTTTCCGAATAAATCCTATCCAAAATGTAGAAAATATGATGAGTCTGTACTTGTAATTTATCATTCCATTGATATTTTTTGGAATTGCATATACAGGGTGACTAAAAAAAATAATGATTGCGTGAATATATTTTATTTATTTAATCAGGAACTACAAAACCGAATGCTTTGAAATCTTGCAGATGGTTTACAGTTATGATAAGCATGATAAGTTTTTATGCAAAATATATTCACTTGTCCCCTCCAAAAAATTGATTACGTCACCGCAAATGTTTTCCGAATAAATCCTATCCAAAATGTAGAAAATATGATGAGTCTGTACTTGTGATTTATCATTCGATTGATATTTTTTGGATTTGCATATACAGGGTGACTCAAAAAAATTAATGATTGCGTGAATATATTTTATTTATTTAATCAGGAACTACACAACCGATTGCTTTGAAATCCTGGAGATGTTTTACATTTATCATAGGCATGGCAAATTTTTGATCAAAATATATTTGCTCAACCCCTCCCTCCCCCCTAAAAAATTGGTCACGCCACCTCAAAATTTTTCTTAAATGTGCATTGGGCAAAGTATGATGAGTCTATAATTATGATTTATCACTGCATAAATATTTTTACTTCCCGAGCGTAAGCAAAGGAAGTATTGTAATCGAGTCCGTCGGCCGACTCTTTACTTTTACGTTTTCTCGATCTTTCAAGACCCCTAGAAGACGAAGAAATAGGTCTCTCATTTCCGTCTGTCTGTCCGTCTATCCGTCTGTCTGCCGTCCCGGATTTTTATTAGACAGATAATCTTCGAAAGTACTGGACCGATTGTTGTGAAATTTTGTACTTATATTAGGAATATCATGTAGATGGTAAAACGCTAACCAAAATTTGTCTAATCATCCCCACCACTAATGCGATGACGTCAGTTCAAAATTGTACATAGCAAATGGATTTTAAATTGTATAAAATAACATAGTCCTACACATATAGTTTACGACTCCGAATTGAGTTTTTATCTTAGATCATATAATAAATAGATACCAATACTCAAACTGAAAGCTGTGACTAGACATGAAGGCGGTGCGGTGGGACACTCAGTCAGTGAACAGATTAGCCAACCCCTCGTAATGACATTGTAAAATTTTATTGTATGCAACAGAAACGTTTCCACTATAATTTTCTTCACGATGCGTAACGTCGGTTGCGAGCCATTGGTCTGCCGTGGTCCATACGCAGCGCATAAATTTCAACCGCCTAGCCCTATTTTTTTTAGTATTACACTACAGCTATCCAAACTGACATACGTGTCCTTGCAAAAATGTGGATGACGTCATCGCAATTTTTTTTTAAAATGCTCCGCTACAAAAATGTAATGAGAAAAAAACCTAATAGGCATGCCGTCGTCACGTTTCCGACAGCGAGGGAAGTACTGTCTAAACTCTTTAGACTAATTATTTGTTTGATAGGGAACACAAACATAAATTTTAATTAATGTTCTATAATTACTAAATCAATTATGGGATTTTAAAAATGTAGAGATATGTTCACTACTGGATACCATCCCATTTATATATAACACAAATTTGATTTTTTAAACATATCTTTTGAGTGACCCGTAGACAAATCTTTACAAATATGAAAGGACGGTTAGCCTTTATACATTGTGCTCTAAACTGAATTCCAAATACGAAGAAAAGTCCTAATAATTTAACAAAAAAAAAAAAAAAACAAATACATATACATACAGGGTTAGTCACGAGAGAATTACTTCTGAAAATAATTTTTACGCAACCCAAAATACTAATACCCTGTACCACTTGATATTATCTAGATTTAAAATGAAATGCCTAATCCATGATTGCTTTGACTTTGGCAGTGTCACTTTGACGTTAATTAATTTTTAACTTTTTTTTTCATCGTTGACTCGCCTCTAGAGCCCCATTGGATCGACGACATACAGTCAGATCAATCTGGGCTATACTGAAGCCGTAAGTGCTCTACCAATGTTGTTCGCCGCCAATGTGCATCTGTTAATTCGCCATTTCTGCGTCACCTAGAGCCTCTTCGAAGTGCAAATCTGCAACCTCTGGACTTCTTCGGCCATCCATTTACAAAAAAGCCGTAGCATCCCCCCAAAATGCCCAACATTTTCAACAGATTAGTAGTTAAATTATTTACTTACTTGTTTGAGTTTGTGTTGTAACCTTTGAATAAAATGCCGTAAAAGGAATTTTTAGAAATAATTTTCTCGTGATTAATCGGTTGTAAAAGATCAAGAGGCACACTGACAAATTTATTAGCGGCGCCGGAGGAGGTTTCCGACTGGCTGCGGTACCACCATGGACACTCGCGTAACCTCATTTTCCACAATTGTCAAAATGAGATTGCCAAACTCAAACCAATCATGGATTAAGCATTTCATTTTAAATTCAGTTAGTATCAAATGGTACATGGTATTCGTATTTTGGGTTGCGTAAAAATAATTTTCAGAAGTAATTCTCTTGTGACTAACCCTGTATGTGTATAACAGACTGATGTTGGAATTAATTTTTTAAGAGGTATAACGATATACCAACACTAATTTGATGTTCGTATCTGAATGAAACATTTTTTTTGTAGTATTTTGGATAAAATATGTATAATTTTATTGTTGTATGTAACTTTTTAGAAAGAACACATGTACCAATTTGGAAAGGATAATACTAATAATAAAAGTACTGTATGCCCAAAATTTTTAGAAAAATGGGCATACAGTACTCAAAAAAGTTATGAATGAAATAATTTATTTTGTTGATTTGATCAACAAAATAAATGTTATATTTCATTCATAACTTTTTTGAGTCACCTTGAATAAGCCATTTATTCGCCAAACTTTTGAGATGACGTCATAATTTTTTTAGCGGAAAAACGAATACATTTTTTAACGACTTACCATGTTTACGATAACCTTAAAATGTATGCAAGATTTCAAAGCATTCGGTTTCGAGGTTTGAAAGTTAAATTCTAAAATGTTATACAATTTGGATATTTTTCTGCGAAAATCTGGATATCTAGAGTAGAAAATCAATACAGATTCATAAATCACATATTTTGAGAATATGTTATTGTTGGTGGAGATACTTGAATGAATTTTACCGTCTACACGACATTTTTAAGTAGTTTCGGATATTACCTGTGTAACAAAAATCGACACAGACAGATAGACTTCATGTAGACAGAAAATTTGATTGATATTGTCTCATTAAGACAGAGGAGAGGAATGTTTAATTAAGCTACAATAGAGCAAAACGATCCGAATATTATTGTGGGTGAGGAGCTATTATTGTAATATTATAAAATACAGGGGGTGCTACTTATTGTCATTTTCGAAAAAAAAACGTCATTGACTTAATAAAAAAAATTGGTCGAAGGCTATTTCGACAGCACTTCCCTCGCCGACAAATCCAATTCGTTTTGAAATAACCTTTGTAAAGTAAAAACCAGCGACATAAATAACACCATCACACCCACTTAACTAACAGGATAAAATGTCCTTCAGCACTAGGTAACAGCAATCTGAAGCTCAAGTGTTTATTTATGTTTATACATGGAAAGAATGCCACGTAGAAATTAGTGCGATTTGAGTGAGTTTATCTTCTCAAAACATAACAAGTATTTGAATTTTTTTTGGGGTTATCGTAGATTGATTGCTCAACATTGTCTATGTAGGCTCAATAACAAAGAGAATTTTCAATCTTACAGTGCGTGCGTAGTCGTTAAATTCATTGGACATTTTTGGAGGATAACCGTTTCTTTCTATAAAATAGCTTAGTCTTTAGTCTAGCGATTAAAGTCGATGTAAACCAAAGCGGATAGTAGTGTTGACGCTGAGTAATATACAGTGCCACAGACTTTTTAATTACCATGTTCATAAATTGCTCTCAGGGTTTGACTGACATCAACAAAATGTTCTAAGGTCTTCGCGAAAGTTATAAGCAGGGGTACATATAGTAGGGAATGGCACGGTTTCAGGTTGAATTAAAAACTCCACAGTAATTGAAAGTGTCGGATGATGTAGATCTTCGGGTACAAATAGATTTTCTTCACGTTTTACTTGAATTCACCGAAAGTTGTAGAAAATAAGATCCAACGATCTATTAAATTACCGATACTATTATGTTGAGTAAGTTGAAGCGGGTCACAAAATGTACGGAGTGAGTTTACTTTAAAGCAGGTAACAGAGAGAGTGTTGAACGTTGATAGGTTGAAATCACCAATCAGTAGTGTAGCTTGATCAACAAGAAAGATTTTTAAAGCTTCGGAAAATATCCGATGTGATTAAGACACCTATAAATCCTCTTCGTGCTTTAAATCTATTGTCGCAAGAATGTTTTATCTAATTAATTATACAGGGTGTTATTGAAAGATACATACAACAAAATTGACACTTATCCGTGAAGTCTAAGAAGTCTGAAAAACTTATTTTGTGTTATCAAAATTATAAGGGAAAAATTAACCCTTATCCAACCTTTTTAGACGCTACTGAAGAATAAATAGGTAAAATTAATTTATTTAAGTAAATCCTAGCAACTGTAACAATAAAACTTTTGTCAAGACTAAATGTTGCTATATAAACGAGAGATGATCTTTTTATCAGAGGCATACAACGAATAAGTTTTGTCTCTAAAAGGAGAACACTTTTACCTGAATATCTTTTTACTTTTAGCACCCATACTTCGAGACCAATTGCCGATTTTATTTTGTACGTACCTTTACACGCTGTATATAATAATGTTTTTGCATATTATTACTTTTGCAGAGTTGAATTTCTTATTCAAGATACAGTTTGCCTTAAAGAAATACAAATTTACAAGTCAAGTTTATATGAGAAAATGTTTAGAAAATCGGTAAAAACAAAAAAATTAATTATTACTTTACCGTCAAAGATATGCGATCAACGTATTTAGATGAACCATGACTAGAATCACTGTATAAGTAGTCGTCTATACTTGAAATGGAAGTTGAATCTAGCTGTCTCCATTTACTGTCTTCTGTTGTGTCTTCCACATACTTTTGCTTACTGATTTTATCGTCTGAGGTACTGGCTTCGGACGACCAGGACAGATAATTTTCTTGTTTATTAATTATCTAAAAAAGCTGGGTGTTACTTCATAGAAATTTAATGTCGCAGATTTTGATTTCCAAGTAACATAATTAGGTCTGTAAAATATGAGAGGGTTCTGGGTTCACATACAGAAACTACTTGATAAATTCAATAAAATTTACAAAAAAGGTATGTTGATTGTCAGTTGTACAAAATTTTGCAGATACGACTTTGTAATTATTCTAGTCTTCGTTCCATGCGTTTGTCAATTGTTATCAAAAATCTAGCGATTTTTGAAGACGTTGATACAGGAATCTTACACAACTTATCATAATAGTATATTAAGTATTAAGAACGGTAAGGGGTGTTTACTGGTCGAAGGCAAAAGTTTGGAGACGGAGAGAAGCGACGTCTCCAATTTGTCTGAGACCAGTAAACCCCCTTAACGTTCGTGATGCTTATACTATTTTTTGTACGACCATCAAAAGATTTGCGTCTTTTTATCAAATTCATAAATTGAAAGGATTTATATCAAACATCAACAAGGTCGTTTTTTAATTTAAAATTTGTTACTATGGTTTCGAGTAGTACAAACAACAATTTTAAAAATCAGTTTCCATTTTGACCGTTGTCGATTTAGATTTCATCTGGCTTGATTTCGAGTTAATTTTCTTTCCGCGACTATTAGTGAGTGATTTATTTGCTTAAAATATCAATCATGAGTGATTCTGAAAGCGAAAATGTCGAAGTCGAACACGCATGGAATTTAAAATAAAAAAAATCTTGAATGCATGATTACTTATCGTTCAGCTGAACAGTAAGTAATTTGCTTACCGTTCGCCTCTTAGTTGTTAGTCGTAGCAACTCGTAAACTGAACTTACTGCTATGGAAACCTATACGGTAAATGATCGAAAAAGCAATGGTTGTACAAAAAATTTGTTTACGCATTGTTTGAGGGACGATTTGATTTCAAACATACTTAACTGGAAGAAAATACGTCTCATTGATTGTCTTCAGTTTTTAAAAGTAATTTGAATGTATTAACTACTTAGGTACTATTTTGTAGCACACACTGAACATTTCGCAACACGTTTCGTGTATGTAACAAAAAATAGTATAATACATCACCACGAATGACAATGGAACTTTGCAGACGAGGGGACTTGTTAATGAATACGAGAACACCAAGCGGTTTACTGTCGGTTTACTGTTTTTATTAAATTCAAATTTGGATATCGCATTATAGCATGGGTGGTGAACGTGCTTTGCCTAATCTATGAATACACAACACAGAATTAGTATAAATTTTAGTACTTAGTTAGTTCCTTCAATGGATCATGACGTCTAGACCACGAAAAAAAGATTTCCGGTTTCCGTCTATCTGTCTGTCTGTCCGCCGTTCGTGTGGATTTTTGTTATACAGATAATCTCTGAAACTACTGGATCGATTGTTGTCAAATTTTATACGTGTATTATGAATACCATGTTGATCGTAAAAGACTAACCAAACTTTGACGTCATCTCTAAATTATACACAGTAAATGGGTTTTAAATTGTATAAAATAACATACTGCTACACGTATGTTTATGAAAACGTGTTGAGTTTTTGCTCAAGCCATCTAGATTTTTGAAAAAAAAAAATCAAAACCGTATAACAACATTTTGCAATTTAATTTTGAATGTGGAAATGAAATGAAATTTTACAGACGTTTTAAACTTATCATAAATTTTTGATCAAAATAGATCTGTTTATTATGTATAAACATAAACACTTAAAGCTGTTGTTCTTGCTAAGGGGCTATTTTTTCTTATTGAGCGTAAGCTAAGGAACTATAGTAATCGAGTGCATTGGGCGATTTGGTATTTTCATATTTTCTCGACGTTTCATGACCCCTAGACAGGGCTGCAGCTATGGAGAATCTAGAGAAATTTTTACCTCCTCTAGACCTAGATAAGTTATAATTAACCAAATGTGACTACAACATCGAAAATCAAAATCAAATGCAATGTTTTATTTAATAAGTGCAAGTCGAAGCAATAAAAAAGCCTGGACCATCGCATTGTGATCCCGTGAAAATGTCGATTAGTTTAGTTTCCCTGTTTTACTTTCACGTGTACAATCTCGACAAGTGTTATCGCAGTTTGTCTTAAATTCCAAGTATTTATGAATGCTTTTCAGTTCAGTTGCACCTCTGGTACTACACATGGCGGTCGTGATTACATTTTTTCGTTATTTTATTGATTAAATCAAGATTCAATGACGACTCCCACCATTTTCCCGAAAAATTTTGAATACAGCAACTGTTATTATTAATTAGTATGTACCGTCGCGAGCACAAAATTCTGATCGTCAGTTTCAGTGTCTGCCACTTAATTCTGTATAGCGACGGTACTATTACACTGCATCTATCCAAACTGATGTGTCCTTGCAAAAATGTTGAAGATGTTATTACCAAATTCGGAAAAACTTACTTGAAACAAACGCGTAGGACGCTTCTTTAGCCTTATTTGAACATTACATACATATTATTTTAACTTATAAGGGTTATCATAAAAAAAAATCGCAAAATCGAATCTTACAATTTTTCGAAATAGCTAGATTTGAGGTACTGGACTTTATGGATGAGGGAAGTTCTGTAGAAATAATTTTCGACCAATTTTTACGAGTGGTGTTCATGTGTATTTAAAAAGTTTTTTATTTTTCTTGTATGGAAACTTTTGGTAATTTTTTATTTTCCTTTAAGTATCGTAAATAAAATCATTGTAAAACAACGATTCCCGTCAATTACCTACTTGTTAAGTTAAATTGCCTAGTCACTGCAAGATCTTTGCAAGCATTGTCACAGAAAAGTGACACCTTCGAGTTAAACTTAGTGTTGATATGACCGGCTTTCTAGACAATTTTAGAAAAAGATTTTTACTTCTCGAGTGTAACCGAAGGAACTATTGTAATCGAGTCCGTCGGTTGACTATCTACTTTTACTTTTTCTCTACCTTTCATGATTCCTCGAGTACGAAGAAATAGGTCTCCCGTTTCCGTCTGTCTGTCTGCCGTCTCGATTTTACAGATAATCTCCGAAAGTACTGGGTCGATTGTTGTCAAATTTTACATATATATTAGGAATAGATAAACTCTGTTTAAACGAAAGAGTCAGTGATCACGTGAAACCTGCATGATGGATCCAAGTACGCGTAAGACTACTGCCCGTGTTACACTCTAGAGAAATTTTAAGTTCTGATTTTGACAAAATAATGCTTACAACATCTGACATGATAGCGCTTACAAGTATAAAAACAAGCAAAAGCACAAAGGACGATCACGCGTCTTTATTGCTGACTCATTTACTTGAATATACTATAAAAAAACACAAACCAAAATTTGTCTAATCATCCTCACCGTTAATGTGATGACGTCAACTCAAAGTTGTACGTAGTAAATGGGTTTTAAATTGTATAAAATAACATAGTCCTACACATGTAGTTTCTTCGTACTGTAGGGGTCATGAAAGATCGAGAAAACGTAAAAGTAAAGAGTCGGTCGACGGACTCGACTATAATACTTTCTTCGCTTACCCTCGGGAAGTAAAAACTAATAATGGAATAATTTCAAGTTGAGTTAGTGACGTTGCAAAACGGCATTGCTATGGATGCATCGCAAACATCTTACAGAATTTTTGTTTTATTTTATTTTTTTATTTTATTTATTTTATTTTATTACGTTCCCCTACAGGCCGGTGGCCCAATTACAGGGGAACGGGGGACATACACAACACCCAGAGCTGGGCGGGAATCGAACCCACGACCCAAGGTGTAGCAGGCATGCACGAAGCTACCTAACCCACCCGGGTCCTCTTGAAATTACGCTATAAAGAACCAAAAAACGCAATATGAAAATTATGAAAATTCAATAAATAATTCGATTTACTATGAAATTTTAATATACAAAGAAAAATTATGATAATTGATAAATTGTTTAAGATTCATGTATCAATTTTTTCAGAAACGGGTAGATTTTTGATAACTGACAACACCGCCGCGAATTCTTCCATATAAAGTGTATTGCTTATAGGTTTTGTACGCTGCCAACTCAAAGTGGAACGGACGATAGAACGAAATTTTTTGGCAGATACAACTTTATAGTTTTTGCTTTCTAAGATGTAAAATATTACCGGCTGGTCATGACTTGATTATTATGGGTATTTTAGGGCTCAGCAATTCTATCTGCTTTTATCTCAATTTTTCAAATTTATCTGACTTCGTCATTCTCAATGAACAATACCACTTTTCACTGTACATAAGATTACTTGGATACGTGAAATTGTCAATAGTAATATTTCCAACACATGGCAATTGACGATGTCGAAAATTTTAGAGAGTTTGCCATACACGTGGGGTATTTTGGCAGACTATTTTCCGAAAAAAAATTGTACATTTATCATTCCATTCCAATAAAATTGAAAGATTAACGTAACTTTACCCAAAAATTATGAACAGTCAAATATTTCTGTATCTGTAAATATACAAATTTTTGGATGATTGATAACGTAAACAGTGAAAATTAAAATTGCATTTCGGCCGGTTTGGCGAAATATGCACATTTCAAAATTCCAAGTTAAATGCCTTTTTGAAAAGGAAAAACGATGACTACAAATTAAAATAATCCAGTGTTTTTGTCAAACCAGAAATGGACAGGTACTTTGGGGGCTTTCGACGATTCCTACTTACATCTTAATACATACAACTAGTACATTTTATAATTTGAAAATGTAATTAATGCATTTTTGTGGGTATGACAATAGATGTTGCCGGGGCATGCCGCACCTACGAATTATGCAAAATGAAAATATAAGATACTGAAAATAAAGATTCACATTCTTGTGCAATACTGTTATTAATAGTATTACACTGTACCTATTCAAATTGATATACGTGTGTTCTTGCTAAAAATGTTGATGACGCTATCAAAAGATTTTTGTATGGAAAAGCTCACTAGAAATATTTGCAAATGATGCTTCTTTACCTGTATTTTAACAGTTTACACATATATTAATTTTAGCTCATATGGATTATCATAAAAAAAAATCTCAAAGCTAAATTTTGTAATTTTTAGGAGCTATATTTGTTCGATTGTCCTTTAAAGGTCAAGGAAGAACCAGAGCAACATTCACAATTGTATTTCCTTACACTTTTTGATTTAATTCCGGTGAGCTGATTTATAACCAAAGGAGGATTTAACTGAAAATTTAGTAAATACTACATTACTGTACTGTACTGCAGGTACACATCAATTTATTATCAATTGTAAACGGAATTTTTAGTGTAGCTCTCAAAGGCGATATAGTCAATGAGCTTTAATTATTAACCCTCATTTAAGACACAATCACATCTCTCGCTATGGAGTACGCATTTTAGGGCAAGCAGTGGTAAAAGAAGTACATGGGCGTGAGGACCCATCGGTGGTGTAATGGTCTTTCACAGTGTCGTATTCGGCCTAAGTGAAACATAATAGTTCAGTGAAGGTGTTGACAAGAGAAGATCGCAAGTTGAGGTGAATCGGCCATAGGGTAGTGTTGACGTGTATAATTTCCTGGCAGATACCTTGGTACATATGCACCTGGGCACTGAGGGCGTCCTCAGGTGGGGTGCTTTTGGCCCATGACACAGCAGGTTAGTGAAAGCTGTGGAAGGGGTGTACTGGGTGTCGACCTACCGGTGGTGGTGGTGATGACAACTGAATGTAACATGGAATACGTTGACTGGTTAGGTGGAGAAATTAACTCGGTTTCGGAAGAAAATAGTGACATGGAGGTGTCCTCTTCACTTTGATCGAGATAGTGCTCCTTCTGAGAGGGCTGTAGGCCGGCATTACATTCAAAACTGTACAGCTAGGACCTTCTCAAATGTGTAGATCAACGTCATCAGGCGCATCGAAGACAACGCTATGAGTTGGAATTGCTAGTCAACAAGGAATGGGGAAGGGGGTGGCGACCCCCCAATGTGTGACCTCATTCTCATTAGCGACAGATAAGTGAGGTGTATCTATTTTCATATCCATTATTGTGGCCGAATTGTCGCGAAGCGGGACCTGTATTAGAGCATCACATTTAAGAATGAGTGAATCTGTCCGTCACTGATAATGAATATTTCTTGATAATTTACGCTAAAGACCTTATTTGGCCAAGAATCATCTTACACACTACGATTTGCTATTATACTTATAATACTTACTACTGAAAGAAAACTGGTCGAAGGTTATTTCGACAGAACTTCTCTTGCCTATAAAGTATTGCTGATTTTTTCAAAAATTATAAAATTCAATTTGCAAATTTTATTTTCTAATGATTAACCCTGTAAGTTAAAACAGAGATATGTGTTGCGCTGTTAAATTATAGGTAAAAATGCTAGACGTATGTTTCAAATTAGTTTTTCTGTAAGAAAATTTTGTGATGACGTTATTAACAACATTTTATCAAGGACATGTATAACAACTCGCATATGTGCAGTGTAATTCTGATAATAACAGTACTATAGTAAATTAACATTTTCAGGAAAATAAGGTGAGGCGTTCTTGATTTGATAAAAAGATCAAATTCATAATTCATTAGTTGATTTGTGTCATCCTGTATAAGTAATGTTAAAAACTATGAAACCATTGATAAACCACAAATAAAGGGTTGTAATATTTTACGTATTTTAGATAGGATTTATTCAGTAAAATTTTGATATGTTTTAATTAACGACTTACCATGCTTACGAAAACTTTAAAACGTTTGCAAAATTTCAGAGCATTCAGTTTTGTAATTTCAAAATGAAATTGCAAAATGTTATACAATGTTGATTTGTTAGTTAAGATTTGACACACATGTACTATGTAAAATTTTGAAGTGACGCCATCACATTGCTGGTGAGGATGATTGGTTAGCGTTTGATGATATTTATAACACACATGTCAAATTTGACAACAATCGGTTCGGTCGTTTGGAGATTATCTGTCTAACAACAATAGGCACAGACAGGCAGGCACGTAAACAGACAGGTAGACGGAAACGGGAGATCTAATTTTTTGTACTCTAAAGTCCACGACATATCGAGAAAATATAATACTTTCATGTCTTCTCGATCGAGTCCATCGGGCTACTGCCAGGTGCCCGATAAACTTGCCTACAATACTTCCTTAGCTTACGCTCGAAAAAAAAAAAGTAAAAACGCCAAAATGTATAAAACATGTCCGAAAGTTGATTTTCAATAAATGTGTGTGCTCCAAAAACTTTAAAGCAATAAATCAAACAAAAAACTGTTTTCATGAAATATGGGACATATTTTAAAAATATCAAACCTTATTTAAAATGGCAGTTGCCAATAGATCTTCATACGTTCGTTCTTCTGTCGCTACAGTATGATTTACTGGCTTACGAAAGCGAGGCAGCCGTGTCGCTTCACGTAAAATTTTTTCAATTAAAAGCTTTAAACTGGTGTGGGCTGAAGATGGTGTCTGTTCTGTAAACGATGCATCTGAAATAAACAGTGTATATAATTAGATAGTGAAAGTGTGAAATCCGCTATAATATATAATTAGGTATAATTTGTAACACAGAAAATTCAAGAAGATTTTTTGGGGATATTATATGGTGGGCCAATTTGGAATGATATAAAATGCACAGACTATTAATAACATATTTAAATCGGTTCATGCACTTCATGCATTAATTATTTTTGGATATCCTCTGGCGCATATATTAAAGTCATATTACTAAAATATGTTTTTCTTTTAAGATAATAACCCTGATAAAAGTAAGGACATTCTTAAAGTATTAGATCTAAAATTTCCCGAAACTCAATCCAATACTTTTACAATTACGGCCTGTAGAGAAAATAAAGTTTGCTATTTGCAAATTGTCAAAAAATATATCAATATTAGATCCAAAATTGTAAATGTACGTTTTTTCATGCATTATCAGGGAGGGAGATGGTTAATCAACCCGTCGGCAAAAATAAAATCGCTGAAATCTCCTGTAAGATAGCAACATATTTGAATTTAGACAACCCTAAAACCTATACAGGCCATTCGTTCAGAAGAACGTCAACAACTTTGTTAGCAAATACGGGAGCAGAAGTTCTCATACTAAAGAGACATGGGGGTTGGAAGTTCGGTAGTATTGCGGAAACCTACGTTGCTGAGTCTATTACTAATAAAAAAGCAATTGCTAATAAAGTTTTATATGATAATCAGGATACAAATTCTACTGAAGCCTCCTCGGCGATGATAGTGTCAAATGAAACCACAGAATTACATTTTGCTGATAAAAATGATGATAACAACATTGAAGTATCCTCGGCGATGATAGTGTCAAATGAAACTACGGAACTAATTGTTGCGGATAAAGAAGGTGATAATAACATTGAATTATCAAAAAATGTAATATATAAATAATATAAAAATAAATATCCCAATTTTGTTAACAATGTTAGTAATTGTACAAACTGTAACATTACCATAAATATAAATTAACAGAGCACGTGTCCTGATGCACTTTTTTCCCAAATGAATGTGGAAAACTAGAACAATTAACAACCGAATTTTACAAAATGTATATTTTTTCTAATTCTTTTGAAAATGTGATCCTAAACGAGGATGATTTTTTAAATAAGTTATCAGCTTCAAAACGTGTACCCTGTATCGGATCGGATGTATAAGATTATTTGTACTTAATGTTAAAAAAATGGACTACTGAAATTATAAAGCTGTTGCTTCACATAATGAAAAGGTGGTTGATCGAATCATTTTGGATTGAAGCAAAGGGTCTGTTGCAGCTATTTTTAAGATACGTGACAAAATATTAGTTTCAAATTACCGTCCCATACGTCTCACATCTACGTGTTATAAAATTCTTGAAATAGTGTTTTGTGGACAACTGAGAGAGTGGGTTCTTGACCACAACTTATTTCCAGATACTCAGCGCGCCTTTATTCCAGGACAGTCAGTCATTTCATGTTTGTTAAAATCATAGAAATAATATTATATGGAAGTAACTTAGAGAGAGACACGCGTTGTCAACACAGTGGGGCAGAGATAGGGCTCTCTGGGTGACAAAACATTGACGCGAAACTGCAGAGCACTGTGTTTCTGGAGGTTTCTTTCCTGCTGTCGCATGGTGTTTGAAGGTGTATTTTTGCAAATTTACGTTTTTTAGGCTCCAGTTACCTTATTTAAGTGTCTACAGTCTTCTTAAATTGTATTTTACTTCCTCTTGTCTTGTTAAAGCTCGTTTACTGTCGTCTGAATTAACTCGGTAAATTAGCCTTTACACGCACCCTGCCTGTAAAGCGTTACCGTGGCAGCTTTACAGGCACCGTGCCTGTAAAACGTTGTCATGACAGCACCGGAATCAAACACACATTCGCTGCGTCGGCCTTTTTCTTAATCTCACTAATACTGTGCTAATACTAACGTTAAAATCACCTTCAAACTCTTCATCTTCATCGAATTCCACAATTAACAGAGCTCAGAAACAAAATTAAACTATTTAAATTATTAATCGAATTTACAAATTGACAATCCCGTTATTTTCAAACAATTCAATTTTCCATAGTTACCGGAGCAAACTATGAAAAATGACTATAATTTCTATGACTGTAATTTCAAGTAAAATTTCTAGAGATGCCAAAGTTGTTCATTTTCAGGATTTTCAGCAAGAGGAAGTAAAACGTTGTACGCGGCTCGCTTGCAACTAGCCTTTACTGGGGCTCACCGGATTACAGAGCTCGCTCCTACGTCGCTCGCCCTGCAAACATTCCGGCTCGCCCGTAAAGGCTAATTTACTAAGCCTGCCACGTAAATAACTATTATTGGACTATTTGTTAAACATCGTGAAATCGTGTTGTGCCTATAATTGCATAGAACGTGCAAAGAAAGCAATCCTGTTTCATTTCATAGGTAAATAATCACATACACAGACGAAGGATTTCGCAAATAATTTAAAAATTTTGTTAGATTCCCTAAACATTCCAAGTTACGAAAAAAAAACGGATTATTGCTACAAAAAGAGGGAATTTATATCTATTGATTATTGTTTTAGTTATTTGTACGTGGATTTAGAAAATAGATTTTAGTAGAAAATTCCACACAATTTAATATGTTTAATTTAATTGGGCACCCTGTCACTTTTATCGAAAGTTTAATTACTTTTATTCTAAAAATTTCAGAATTATCAATGAACATATACTACAAGATTAGTTAACGTGTAGAAGATTATTGTACTAACTGAATTCGTAATAAGTATATTGTAGATTCTGTATACATTTCATTTTATTAAAAGACTATCTCCACCACTTAACATGATTTTTGTGATTTCACGTTACATATAATTTTAATGTAAACTGTAAAAATATAGTTTTCATTAACAGACGTTTGTTATAATTGACTGTTTGAACAAATTCGTAAGAAAACGTATCCATTCCCGTTCAAATGAAGCGTTTCTTGCCACCCAGCACGTGATACGTCAGCCGTCCTTTCCCCACTGATGCATAACCGCTCTAGCTATTTCTTTCTTATGTTGATTACAATGGTTAAAATGTTTAGACCAGTGGTTCACTAACTGATAATACTGTTAAGTTTGTCTGGTATTTAAAGTCGGCGTGGGTAAAACTAAAGAATTTATTTCTCCCCTGATCAGAAACGTCCGGGGTGTCTTTCATGAAGTGATCTGGGTGAACAATCTTTATTTTCATGTTCAGTTCTTGCTGAATCCTGTAAACGACATCGTTGATCCTCGTCACGACAGTACATATGGACCTTCCCAATCTGGTGACGACTTCGGGCAACGACCTTTCCTTCTTCGGGGGTTATAAAGCCATACCAAATCTCCTGCCTGGAACTCTACTGAATTGTCCTTAAGCTCGTAACGTGTCTTCATTCTATCGCACGTAACCCATTCTTGTGGCTCAGCATTTCGTGAACGCTGGACAGCTTTTCCTGTAAGCAATTGCCGTAGCCTTTAACCTTCATCCTGTACTTGTTTCCTTCTTCGATCAGTCGGAGTGGACCTGCTATGTCTACTGCAGTCCTTCCAAAAGGCGAGCCGGCGTTGTGTGGTTGCATCATCCCTGTCGCTCTAATCTTCGGCTTTGACCGCTGCACAGCTCGTACACTTTTTGCCCCAGCTCTCGACGTCTTCTCGACAATTGACCCAGTAAAATCTCTCCCTAACTTTAGAAAGCGTCTTGTTGATTCGAGAATGAACACCAGAACCTCCGTTGAGCATTTCTGGAAGTACTTCCTTGGTTCTCAGGACCGGAACTAGCAACTGCATTGTGACATGCCTCCCATCCGAACTTTGGCAAGCCGGCTTAAGCAATCCACTCTCGGCACGTAGCCCATAACGCATTGAAAGAAGGTGACTCGTGTGATAGCCAGGCCGTTCCTTCCCATCTTCTTTCCATCTAAGGAGAGGCTCAATATCCACGTCTTCTTTTCGGTCTTTTTTATACCGAGCCGTAGTTCATTCATCATCTTCTACGATTGCTTTCTTCCTGTGGTTGACCCGTGTTTTGCACTGATAAACCTCGTCGCAGTGTTTGCAGTTTTGAGAAGCCATCAATCTTATAGGCTTTGCTTCAATACTACACTGATTCAGCATGAACTCTTCTTTTCCAAGACGTAAGACTTCCATCTCTGAGTCAATTGTCAACCCATGGCGGGTAATCGGATCCATTCCCAAAATGAAGTCATCTTCCACGCTAGCCACGAGAGTCCGATGTCTTATTCTTAACAGACCGATGTAGATTTCTGACGATGGTTCGCCTATGATCGGCGTCGACTCTCCAGTACGATTTACAACGTCATTTTTTAGTGTTGACAGATGCCATTTTTAATAATTTTTATAGGAATTTTTCAATTATTATTAAATTCGCATCAAAATATATCTCAAAATTACGAAGTTAATTCTTAAATTTTGAAGTTTAATATTTTCAAAAACTTGGTTCACAGATTTTTTTGACTATTTTTTTTAGAGTTTTGCAGAGCCTCCTTAACAATGTACCGTCAAAAACAAGCACGTAGATAATTTTTTTGACCACCCTGTATGTGGATTACCTAAATTTAAACAGCTATTTCCTTAAACAAAAAGATGCAGAGGAACGTAAAATATTAGGAGTAATTGTTATAATTTCACTGAAATCTCGTTATAGATAATCATTAGCCTTTGAAGTGTGTCAATCTTCATTTTAAAATTAAATTTAATCACACTCACTACATTATCAACACTTATAGTCACTATATTATCAAAAGCAAAGTTCTTATTCTTAGTATAATTTTGTAAATGCAAAATCCTCTTACAGGACGTTTGATTATATTTATGGCGCTGTTATGAAAGTGTCATAAAGTGTAAATTTTGTCATAATATTACGATTTGACTTTGAAACTAAATTAAATGGAAAATAACATGTAACTTACTTACCGAAATAAAACTCCAGTAGATAATAATAACAATATAATCCTACACAGAATATTATCC